TTTATCGAGAAGGGCTACCCTTTGGATATTGTAGAAGAAGCCCACACACTTCATACCAATGGCCCTACAACATCAGAACATCCTACCGACAATATGCCATATGACAATATGCCATCACAGATTAGATTTGCCACTCAGTTCCATAGTCATCATAAGCAAATGGAATATACTATACGCAAACACTGGCCAATCTTGCACCAAGACCCTTACTTCAAATCACTTTTACCACAACAACCCAAGTTTTCATACAGGAAAGCTCCCAACTTAAAAGGGAAAATAGCACCCAGCAAACTTAAAACTAAGAGAAAGAACACAGTTCCTCTCACCCTTTCCCCTACTGTTGGTATGTATCAGTGCAAAAAACCCTTATGTAAGACATGCCAGTCTATTCATCATGGATAGAGATGAGCGAAGTATTCAAAAATTCGATTCGACTGATTCGGCGAATTCGTGGAAAAAGTTCGATTCGAGTCGAATATATTCGCTGCGAATTTAACTTATAAAAGGGTGTTTCTAGGCTTCAGAGAGCCTTTATATTAGTGCAGAACACTGTACCTTTAATTTAAATGCCCTTGGAGTCTGCTGGGGAAGAGAAATAATACTGACAGTCAGTATGACATGCAGATGAGTGCCGTCGATCTTAGAATCACCGCACACTTCACTCATTTGGGCAGTCACGGGGCCAAAACCAGAGTGTGGAGCCACAGTGTGGCGGTGGAGGCAGCAGCAATGGGAGGCCATACAGCACCCTATGACAAAAATGGAAACCACCAGCAGTGTGAGGAGACCTGAAAGTGGCACATGGCAGAGTGTGGCGATGGAGACAGCAGCAATGGGAGGCCGTACAGGGACCCATGACACACTCTGGACCTGGCAGCAGCATGAGGAGGCGGTACAGGGGCCCATGACAGATTACGGGCCTGGCAGCAGCATGAGGAGTTGGTACGGGGGGCCCATGGCAGATTACGGGCCTGGCAGCAGCAATGGGAGGCCGTACAGGGACCCATGACACATGGACCTGGCAGCAGCATGAGGAGGCGGGTACAGGGGCCCATGACAGATTACGGGCCTGGCAGCAGCATGAGGAGTCGGTACGGGGGCCCATGACACACTCTGGACCTGGCAGCAGCATGAGGAGGCGGTACAGGGGCGCATGACAGATTACTAGCCTGGCAGCAGCAACTTGGACAGGAGGACGTTCAGCTTCTGCACCGTCGGGTGCGTGCTCGCAAACTGTTGTCTCTTGGAAACGGATTCCAAGAAAGACTGCTGACGGAATCCGTGAAGAGGAGTAGCAGGAGAAGGAGCATCTGAACGAGCGGAATATGCCAACAAGCGACAACAGGGGCCCATGACAGATTACGGGCCTGGCAGCAGCATGAGGAGTTGCGGTACGGGGGGCCCATGGCAGATTAGGGGCCTGGCAGCAGCTATGGGAGGCCCGTAATCTGCCAGCACCCCTATGACAAAAAATGGAACACACCAGCAGTGTGAGGAGACCTGAAAGTGGCACATGGCAGAGTGTGGCGATGGAGACAGCAGCAATGGGAGGCCGTACAGGGACCCATGAGACACTCTGGACCTGGCAGCAGCATGAGGAGGCGGTATAGGGGCCCATGGCAGATTAGGGGCCTGGCAGCAGCTATGGGAGGCCCGTAATCTGCCAGCACCCTATGACAAAAAAAATGGAACACACCAGCAGTGTGAGGAGACCTGAAAGTGGCACATGGCAGAGTGTGGCGATGGAGACAGCAGCAATGGGAGGCCGTACAGGGACCCATGAGAGACTCTGGACCTGGCAGCAGCAGCATGAGGAGGAGGCGGTACAGGGGCCCATGGCAGATTAGGGGCCTGGCAGCAGCTATGGGAGGCCCGTAATCTGCCAGCACCCTATGACAAAAAATGGAACACACCAGCAGTGTGAGGAGACCTGAAAGTGGCACATGGCAGAGTGTGGCGATGGAGACAGCAGCAATGGGAGGCCGTACAGGGACCCATGAGAGACTCTGGACCTGGCAGCAGCAGCATGAGGAGGCGGTATAGGGGCCCATGGCAGATTAGGGGCCTGGCAGCAGCTATGGGAGGCCCGTAATCTGCCAGCACCCTATGACAAAAAATGGAACACACACCAGCAGTGTGAGGAGACCTGAAAGTGGCACATGGCAGTGTGAGGAGACAGCTGAAAGTGGCACATGGCATGAGACACTGTGGACCTGGCAGCAGCATGAGGAGGCGGTACAGGGGCCCATGGCAGATTAGGGGCCTGGCAGCAGCAATGGGAGGCCCGTAATCTGCCAGCACCCTATGACAAAAAAATGGAACACACCAGCAGTGTGAGGAGACCTGAAAGTGGCACATGGCAGAGTGTGGCGATGGAGACAGCAGCAATGGGAGGCCGTACAGGGACCCATGAGAGACTCTGGACCTGGCAGCAGCATGAGGAGGCGGTACAGGGGCCCATGGCAGATTAGGGGCCTGGCAGCAGCATGGGGAGGGCCCGTAATCTGCCAGCACCCTATGACAAAAAATGGAACACACACAGCAGTGTGTGAGGAGACCTGAAAGTGGCACATGGCAGAGTGTGGCGATGGAGACAGCAGCAATGGGGCCGCCGTACAGGGACCCATGAGAGACTGTGGACCTGGCAGCAGCATGAGAGGAGGCGGTACAGGGGCCCATGGCAGATTAGGGGCCTGGCAGCAGCAATGGGAGGCCCGTAATCTGCCAGCACCCTATGACAAAAAATGGAACACACCAGCAGTGTGTGAGGAGACCTGAAAGTGGCACATGGCATGGCATGAGACACTGTGGGACCCATGGCAGGACAGCAGCATGAGGAGGCGGTACAGGGGCCCATGGCAGATTAGGGGCCTGGCAGCAGCTATGGGAGGCCCGTAATCTGCCAGCACCCTATGACAAAAAATGGAACACACACAGCAGTGTGTGAGGAGACCTGAAAGTGGCACATGGCAGAGTGTGGCGATGGAGACAGCAGCAATGGGAGGCCGTACAGGGACCCATGAGAGACTCTGGACCTGGCAGCAGCATGAGGAGGCGGTATAGGGGCCCATGGCAGATTAGGGGCCTGGCAGCAGCTATGGGAGGCCCGTAATCTGCCAGCACCCTATGACAAAAAATGGAAACACACCAGCAGTGTGAGGAGACCTGAAAGTGGCACATGGCAGAGTGTGGCGATGGAGACAGCAGCAATGGGAGGCCGTACAGGGACCCATGAGAGACTCTGGACCTGGCAGCAGCATGAGGAGGCGGTATAGGGGCCCATGGCAGATTAGGGGCCTGGCAGCAGCTATGGGAGGCCCGTAATCTGCCAGCACCCTATGACAAAAAATGGAACACACCAGCAGTGTGAGGAGACCTGAAAGTGGCACATGGCAGAGTGTGGCGATGGAGACAGCAGCAATGGGAGGCCGTACAGGGACCCATGAGAGACTCTGGGACTGGCAGCAGCATGAGGAGGCAGCATAGGGCGGTATATGGGGCCCATGGCAGATTAGGGGCCTGGCAGCAGCTATGGGAGGCCCGTAATCTGCCAGCACCCTATGACAAAAAATGGAACACACCAGCAGTGTGAGGAGACCTGAAAGTGGCACATGTTTGGGGCATGATTCATGGCGGATTTAGTCAGTTGTGTCAGGAACTGGTGGTTTGAAATCCAGACTAATCCACGCCTGATGGCATTTTCACAAACGTGAGTCTCTCCACACTTTGGGTGGACAGTCGTGTCACTCGCCTCCGCGAGTTTACAATACCTCCTGCCGCACTAAACACGCGCGCTCCGATGCCACGCTACTGCTAGTGGCCGGGCATGACAGCCTTTCAAGGGCAAATTCAGCTAGTTGGGGCCAAAGGTCAAGTTTCGTTGCCCAGTAGTCAAGGGGATTGTCTACCTCGGTTGGCAGGGTGCTGTCCAAGTAGGCCCAAGCAGCCTGTGTTTTGAGGTCCTGCTCCAGGTCCACCTGATGCTGCTGCTGCTGCTGCTGGGCTGGTTAGTAGTTTCCTCACTGCGCTGGTGAAGAAAGCTACTCATCATCGACTGCAGACTGAGGCAGCTGCTGCTGGTGGGAGCTGCCACTGCTCCTACCACCCCACCCCTCCCCTGCTGCCATGGCAGCGGAACGCGAGCGCACAGGGCCCACAGTGTCTGAGGATGGACATTGGCGCAGAAAGGCAGAGACCAGCTGACTACATAGGTGGTTTTTTATAGTACGTTATTTTGGCCCCCTCTCAGCAGGTGTGAAAAAGGCCACCATTTTTGAATGTAGCGAGGGTCCAAAGGTGGACAGCCAAAAGTCATCCCTCTGTCTGATGGTTATTATTCGGCTGTCGCTACGCAAGCAAGCAGAGCATGCTATGGGCCATTTGTGCCAAGGAATGCGAGGGACTCCCTGCCTCCATCTCCACAGCATACTGCCACGGTGCGTCTGGGTCCTCTGTCTCCTCTTCCTCCTCCTCCTCTACCAGATGCTCCTGCTCCTCCACTCCTGTCCGCTGAGTGGAAAAACCACCCATTTCACTCAATAATTCCTGAGCACACAATGTCCTCCTCTACCTCCTCCTCTTCTTCCTGTCCTGCCCCCACAGGGGTCATGTGGCGTTGAGATCTGTGCGCCACGTCTACCGCACCCTGACCAGCCATTGTTAACAGCATTTGTTCCAGGACGTGCAACAGAGGAATGACGTCGTTCATCCCATAGTCCTGCCGACTCACGAATAGGCGGGCCTCCTCAAAGGGCCTGAGCAAGCGCAGGTGTCACGCATGAGCTGCCAATGGCTGACATCTAAGTTACACAGGGAGTACCTTTATCCGCTTTTAACACATCAGGAAATCTGTGATGGCCTTTCGCTGTTCGTGAAAGGCGGCTAACATATGTAGGGTTGAATTCCACCTTGTTGCAACGTCACAGCATGAGGAGGAGTCGGTACGGGGGCCCATGGCAGATTACGGGCCTGGCAGCAGCAATGGGAGGCCCGTAATCTGCCAGCACCCTATGACAAAAAATGTAACACACCAGCAGTGTGTGAGGAGACCTGAAAGTGGCACATGGCAGAGTGTGGCGATGGAGACAGCAGCAATGGGAGGCCGTACAGGGACCCATGAGAGACTCTGGACCTTGGCAGCAGCAGCATGAGGAGGCGGTACAGGGGCCCATGGCAGATTAGGGGCCTGGCAGCAGCTATGGGAGGCCCGTAATCTGCCAGCACCCTATGACAAAAAATGGAACACACCAGCAGTGTGAGGAGACCTGAAAGTGGCACATGGCAGAGTGTGGCGATGGAGACAGCACAATGTGGACCCCATGAGAGACTCTGGCAGCAGCATGAGAGGAGGCGGTACAGGGGCCCATGGCAGATTAGGGGCCTGGCAGCAGCTATGGGAGGCCCGTAATCTGCCAGCACCCTATGACAAAAAATTGAACACACCAGCAGTGTGTGAGGAGACCTGAAAGTGGCACATGGCAGAGTGTGGCGATGGAGACAGCAGCAATGGGAGGCCGTACAGGGACCCATGAGAGACTCTGGACTGGGCAGCAGCATGAGGAGGCGGTATAGGGGCCCATGGCAGATTAGGGGCCTGGCAGCAGCTATGGGAGGCCCGTAATCTGCCAGCACCCTATGACAAAAAATGGAACACACCAGCAGTGTGAGGAGACCTGAAAGTGGCACATGGCAGAGTGTGGGAGGCGATGGAGACAGCAGCAATGGGCATGAGGCCGTACAGGGGCCCATGAGAGACTCTGGGCCTGGCAGCAGCATGAGGAGGCCCGTAATAGGGGCCCCTATGGCAGATTAGGGGCCTGGCAGCAGCTATGGGAGGCCCGTAATCTGCCAGCACCCTATGGCAAAAAATGGAACACACCAGCAGTGTGAGGAGACCTGAAAGTGGCACATGGCATGAGACACTGTGGACCTGGCAGCAGCATGAGGAGGCGGTACAGGGGCCCATGGCAGATTAGGGGCCTGGCAGCAGCTATGGGAGGCCCGTAATCTGCCAGCACCCTATGTAAAAAATGGAACACACCAGCAGTGTGTGAGGAGACCTGAAAGTGGCACATGGCAGAGTGTGGCGATGGAGACAGCAGCAATGGGAGGCCGTACAGGGACCCATGAGAGACTCTGGACCTGGCAGCAGCATGAGGAGGCGGTATAGGGGCCCATGGCAGATTAGGGGCCTGGCAGCAGCTATGGGAGGCCCGTAATCTGCCAGCACCCTATGTCAAAAAATTGAACACACCAGCAGTGTGAGGAGACCTGAAAGTGGCACATGGCAGAGTGTGGCGATGGAGACAGCAGCAATGGGACCTGGCAGGGACCCATGAGAGAGGACCTGGCAGCAGCATGAGGGGGCGGGAGGCGGTATAGGGGCCCATGGCAGATTAGGGGCCTGGCAGCAGCTATGGGAGGCCCGTAATCTGCCAGCACCCTATGACAAAAAAATGAACACACCAGCAGTGTGAGGAGACCTGAAAGTGGTGGCACATGGCAGAGTGTGGCGATGGAGACAGCAGCAGCAATGGGAGGCCGTACAGGGACCCATGAGAGACTCTGGACCTGGCAGCAGCATGAGGAGGCGGTATAGGGGCCCATGGCAGATTAGGGGCCTGGCAGCAGCTATGGGAGGCCCGTAATCTGCCAGCACCCTATGACAAAAAATGGAAACACACCAGCAGTGTGAGGAGACCTGAAAGTGGCACATGGCATGAGACACTGTGGATGGAGGCAGCAGCATGAGGAGGCGGGCCGTACAGGGGCCCATGGCAGATTAGGGGACCTGGCAGCAGCTATGAGGAGGCCCGTAATCTGGGGCCCATGGCAGATTATGGCAGCAAAAATGCTATGGGAGGCCCGTAATCTGCCAGCACCCTATGACAAAAAATGCACACCAGCAGTGTGTGAGGAGACCTGAAAGTGGCACATGGCAGAGTGTGGCGATGGAGACAGCAGCAATGGGAGGCCGTACAGGGACCCATGAGAGACTCTGGACCTGGCAGCAGCATGAGGAGGCGGTATAGGGGCCCATGGCAGATTAGGGGCCTGGCAGCAGCTATGGGAGGCCCGTAATCTGCCAGCACCCTATGACAAAAAATTGAACACACCAGCAGTGTGTGAGGAGACCTGAAAGTGGCACATGGCAGAGTGTGGCGATGGAGACAGCAGCAATGGGAGGCCGTACAGGGGGACCCATGAGAGACTCTGGACCTGGCAGCAGCATGAGGAGGCGGTATAGGGGCCCATGGCAGATTAGGGGCCTGGCAGCAGCTATGGGAGGCCCGTAATCTGCCAGCACCCTATGACAAAAAATGGAACACACCAGCAGTGTGAGGAGACCTGAAAGTGGCACATGGCATGAGTGTGGCGATGGAGACAGCAGTGGGGGCCGTACAGGGACCCATGAGAGACTCTGGACCTGGCAGCAGCATGAGGAGGCGGTACAGGGGCCCATGGCAGATTAGGGGCCTGGCAGCAGCTATGGGAGGCCCGTAATCTGCCAGCACCCTATGACAAAAAATGGAACACACCAGCAGCAGTGTGAGGAGACCTGAAAGTGGCACATGGCAGAGTGTGGCGATGGAGACAGCAATGGGAGGCCGTACAGGGACCCATGAGAGAGACTGGGACTTGCAGCAGCAGGAGGAGGCGTATAGGGGCCCATGGCAGATTAGGGGCCTGGCAGCAGCTATGGGAGGCCCGTAATCTGCCAGCACCCTATGACAAAAAATTGAACACACCAGCAGTGTGAGGAGACCTGAAAGTGGCACATGGCATGAGACACTGTGGACCTGGCAGCAGCATGCAATGAGGAGGCGGTACAGGGGCCCATGGCAGATTATGGGGCCTGGCAGCAGCTATGGGAGGCCCGTAATCTGCCAGCACCCTATGACAAAAAATGGAACACACCAGCAGTGTGAGGAGACCTGAAAGTGGCACATGTTTGGGGCATGATTCATGGCGGATTTAGTCAGTTGTGTCAGGAACTGGTGGTTTGAAATCCAGACTAATCCACGCCTGATTCATTTTCACAAACGTGAGTCTCTCCACACTTTGGGTGGGACAGTCGTGTCCTCCGCGGAGTTACAATACCTCCTGCCGCACTAAACACGCGCTCCGATGCCACGCTACTGGCCGGGCATGACAGCCTTTCAAGGGCAAATTCAGCTAGTTGGGGCCAAAGGTCAAGTTTCGTTGCCCAGTAGTCAAGGGGATTGTCTACCTCGGTTGGCAGGGTGCTGTCCAAGTAGGCCCAAGCCTGTTGTTTGAGGTCCTGCTCCAGGTCCACCTGATGCTGCTGCTGCTGTGCTGCTGCGGCTGGTTAGTAGTTTCCTCACTGCGCTGGTGAAGAAAGCTACTCATCATCGACTGCAGACTGAGGCAGCCGCTGCTGGTGGAGCTGCCACTGCTCCTACCACCCCACCCCTCCCCTGCTGCCATGGCAGCGGAACGCGAGCGCACACAGGGCCCACAGTGTCTGAGGATGGACGTTGGCGCACAAAGGCAGAGACCAACTGACTACATAGGTGGTTTTTATAGTACGTTATTTATTTTGGCCTCCCTCTCAGCAGGTGTGAAAAAGGCCACCATTTTTGAACGGGTAGCGAGGGTCCAACAAGGTGGACAGCCAAAAGTCATCCCTCTGTCTGATGGTTATTATTCGGCTGTCGCTACGCAAGCAAGCGAGCATGCTATGGGCCATTTGTGCCAAGGAATGCGAGGGACTCCCTGCCTCCATCTCCACAGCATACTGCCACGGTGCGTCTGGGTCCTCTGTCTCCTCCTCCTCCTCCTCTACCAGATGCTCCTGCTCCTCCACTCCTGTCCGCTGAGTGGAAAAAAACACCCATTTCACTCAATAATTCCTGAGCACAAAATGTCCTCTCTACCTCCTCCTCTTCTTCCTGTCCTGCCCCCACAGGGGTCATGTGGCGTTGAGATCTGTGCGCCACGTCTACCGCACCCTGACCAGCCATTGTTAACAGCATTTGTTCCAGGACGTGCAACAGAGGAATGACGTCGTTCATCCCATAGTCCTGCCGACTCACGAATAGCGTGGCCTCCTCAAAGGGCCTGAGCAAGCGGCAGGTGTCACGCATGAGCTGCCAATGGCTGACATCGAAGTTACACAGGGGAGTACCTTTATCCGCTTGTAACATCAGGAAATCGGTGATGGCCTTTCGCTGTTCGTTCGTAAAGGCGGTCTAACATGTGTAGGGTTGAATTCCACCTTGTTGCAACGTCGCAGATCAGGCGATGCTGTGGAATTCCGTTCTGCCGCTGCAGCTCAAGGAGGGTGTGCTTTGCGGTGTAGGAATGGCTGAAATGCATGCAAAGTTTTACGTGACATTTTAAGGATGTCTTGCAGTGGGATGGTGGATTTTAGGAACCGCTTGACAACCAGATTGAACACGTGAGCCATGCATGGCGCATGGCACAACCTTCCTTGACGCAGAGCAGACACCATGTTCTTTCCGTTGTCGGTCAACATGGTTCCGATTTTCAGTTTGCGCGGAGACAGCCATCTGTCGATTTCTCTGTTCATTACACTGAGAAGTTCCTCCCCTGTGTGACTACGTTCGCCAAGGCATACCAGGTGCAGCACAGCGTGACACCGTTGCGCCCTGCACATGTGATATGCCGGTCGGGTAATGGGACTTGGCACGGGGGGGGGGCGGGCTGAGGACACGAAGGAAGAAGAGGTGGTAGAGGCGGACATCTTTTGTGGACCAAGGACGTGCAAACGTGGAGGCAAAAGCGGCGTGACCTGTCCAAGTTGCTGGTGCGGCTGTGCGGCACCACGTTCACCCAGTGGGCCGTAAATGACATGTACTGTCCCTGACCGTAGTTACAGCTCCACACGTCGGCGCTGCCGTGCACTTTGGCAGAGACCGACATGCTCAAAGACTGGCCCACCATCTCTTCTACATGTGAATGCAGGGCTGGCACTGCCTTTTTGGCGAAGAAATGACGGCTTGGCACTCTCCACCGCGGCGCGGCACAAGCCATCATTTCTCGGAAAGGTGCTGAGTCCACCACTTGGAAAGGGAGGGACTGCAGCACCAGCAACTTGGACAGGAGGACGTTCAGCTTTTGCACCGTCGGGTGCGTGCTCGCAAACTGTTGTCTCTTGGAAACGGATTCCAAGAAAGACTGCTGACGGAATCCGTGAAGAGGAGTAGCAGGAGAAGGAGCATCTGAACGAGCGGAAGATGCCAACGAGCGACAACTCCCCTCAGCAGAGGTGTTGGAGCCTTGACTGGCTGATAGAGGGCGATTGACGTCGGGTGACGGAGCAAGTAACGGAGCGGGTGATGGGGGGGCTGGGGCGGGCAGAAACCGCCGTATCTTTATCACGGTTTTCCCAGGCCACCAAATGGCGACGCTGCATATGCTGCCGCAACGCTGTAGTCCCAACATGGGCCCCCTGGCCACGCTTGACTTTCTGGCCACATAGTCGACATACGGCTACGTTTACTTCCTCGGGCGGCTTGACAAAAAAATTGCCACACACCGCCGAGTAGGAAACTTTGCCCCCGATACTCCTCACTGGCTGACTGCTGCTTCCTCCGTGCACACCGGCACCACTACTGGCCGTGGTGGTAGGCTGCAGTGGAGCTGGTGCTGTACTCCGTGGCCGTTTGCCTCCACTGACACTGCTGCGACCCTGCTGCCTCCTGGGCAACCCCACCGACTGTTTTGCTCGCTGCCAAGCTGCCACCCTCTTCTCCTGATGATGCGGAAGCAATAGCCTGATGACGACGAGGCTGCCAAGTGCGATCAGCCTCATCATCATCAATTAGGGTCTCCGCCTCACTACTAGCCCCCTCGGCTGCGTGTGGGTCAGGAGACAGACCTGTCTCTAGACCGGCTACCGAGCCACTCTCCTCGCGCCACTACTTCTTCGCCTGGCTGCTGAAGAGGCGGATGTCTCCCCCCGTTCCTGACCGCCCTCTGTTAGCTCTTCCTCACTGTACAGTGGGGCTGAGCCACAGCATGCGATACTTCGCTTGGTGAGGGAACACCAAAGGACAGGGGCAGGTAGAGGACACGTGATTTCAGTGGGCTTGCTCCCGGGCCATGCCAACTAACGGTTGTGTCTGACGTACCCACCGACCGTTGGCTGTAGGTGTCAGAGGTGACCTGGGAAGAGGAAGACGACCGAGCCAACCAATCGATGACGGCAGGGTTGTCGGTGGAGACGACGACGACCGCTGGATGACACCGGGAGCACTGGCCTCTGGCTGCGAATAGTGCTGCCTCGACCCCTTCCTCTGCTGCCACGTCTGCTCGCTCCTAAAACATTGCCTCCTCTGCCACTCCTCTGCATGTTGTCTGACATACTCTTTAATTAAACGATTCTGTGTCCCTGAGTAACAATTCTGTGTCTGTCCCTGAGTAACAATTCTGTGTGTGTCCCTGAGTAACGTTTCTGTGTGCCCTAAGTAACAGTTCTGTGGCCCTCAGTAACAATTCTGTGTCCCTCAGTAACAATTCTGTGTCCCTCAGTAACAATTCTGTGTCTGTCCCTGAGTAACAATTCTGTGTCTGTCCCTGAGTAACAATTCTGTGTCCCTGAGTAACAATTCTGTGGCCCTAGTAACAATTCTGTGTCCCTCAGTAACAATTCTGTGTCCCTCAGTAACAATTCTGTGTCTGTCCCTGAGTAACAATTCTGTGTCCCTGAGTAACAATTCTGTGTCCCTCAGTAACAATTCTGTGTCTGTCCCTCAGTAACAATTCTGTGTCCCTCAGTAACAATTCAATTCTGTGTCCTGTGTCCCTGTCAGTAACAATTCTGTGTCCCTCAGTAACAATTCTGTGTCCCTGAGTAACAATTCTGTGTCCCTCAGTAACAATTCTGTGTCCCTCAGTAACAATTCTGTGTCCCTGAGTAACAATTCTGTGTCCCTGAGTAACAATTCTGTGTCCCTCCTGAGTAACAATTCTGTGTCCCTAAGTAACGTTTCTGTGGCCCTAGTAACAATTTCTGTGGCCCTCAGTAACAAATTCTGTGTCTGTCCCTCAGTAACAATTCTGTGTCCCTGTAACAATTCTGTGTCCCTAGTAACAATTCTGTGTCCCTAAGTAACAATTTCTGTGTCCCCTAAGTAACGTTTCTGTGTGCCCTAAGTAACAATTCTGTGGCCCTAAGTAACGTTTCTGTGGCCCTAAGTAACGTTTCTGTGGCCCTAAGTAACAATTCTGTGTCCCTAAGTAACAATTCTGTGGTCCCTAAGTAACAATTCTGTGGCCCTAAGTAACAATTCTGTGTCCCTAAGTAACAATTTCTGTGGCCCTCAGTAACAATTCTGTGGCCCTCAGTAACAATTCTGTGTCCCTCAGTAACAATTCTGTGTCTGTCCCTGAGTAACAATTCTGTGTCCCTAAGTAACGTTTCTGTGGCCCTAAGTAACAATTCTGTGGCCCTCAGTAACAATTCTGTGTCCCTCAGTAACAATTCTGTGTCTGTCCCTAAGTAACAATTCTGTGTCCCTAAGTAACTTTCTGTGGCCCTAAGTAACGTTTCTGTGTCCCTAAGTAACGTTTCTGTGTCCCTAAGTAACAATTCTGTGTCCCTCAGTAACAATTCTGTGTCCCTAAGTAACAATTCTGTGTCTGTCCCTAAGTAACAATTCTCTGTGGCCCTAAGTAACAATTCTGTGGCCCTAAGTAACGTTTCTGTGGCCCTAAGTAACGTTTCTGTGTCCCTAAGTAACGTTTCTGTGGCCCTAAGTAACAATTTCTGTGGCCCTAAGTAACGTTTCTGTG